TGTTATAAACTCTTGACTCTGAGACGGCTGTGGAGTGGTAAAAGCCAAAACGGATCCTTTACTTTGTAGAAGTTATTTAATGATTTTGGTTGTAACTGGCCAGAGGGCTTTCTACTTGGCCTTTAATAATAAAGTCTCTACCCCAACTGTTAGTAGCTGCTTTGCAAATGCATTTAAAAATCCCAGAGCCTGGAGTTTGGAGATTGGACATTAGGAACCCAAAGTAGAGGAGGAAGTCTTAGTGAAAAACTGACAAGATTTCTGTGTCTTCAGTTCTTGGGGCAGGGCTGGGTTTCCTTGTGCTGTTTAGAAAGGAGATATTTCTGGGGACTTACCTTTCCATTCAGGGCCAGCTGTGGAATCTGCTGGGGCAAGTGCAGAAGGAAATTGCAGGACCCCTTGTTCAAAAAGCACTCAGAATTTTAGATGAGAACTACCAATGTGAGACCAAGGTTTATATGACTGCAGAGATCAGTTGTTTGCCCGTAAAGGTGCTAAACACAAGGTTGGTGGTTGGAACTCAGTAGCTCCCACTGAATATACTAGCAATTTAGTAGCAATCTGTTCCTGCTAAGATGACAGCCTAGGAAGCCCCATGGGGGTAGCTCTAATCTGTCACATGGCATCACTATGAGTTGGCATTGACTTGGCAGAACCTAAGAACAGGAGCGCACCACTCATCTGTCAGTTTGTACCCTGTGGTAGCTTGCATGTGGCTGTCATTATGGATGTTGTACCCCTAGTACTTGGATTATCAGTGGGGTCAGCCATGTCTCCTGAGTCAGCATGCTCATTAAAAGCAAGACCAGTGAGATTTCATGTCATGTACTTTGGACCAGTCCCAGGAGAAAGGCATTATATTTGGGAAAGTAGAGAATTGGCAAAAAAAAAAAAAAAAAAAAGGAAGATCCTCAATGAGATGGATTGGCACACGAGCTCAGCGATGGGTTCAGATGGCACAATTTGTGAGTGTAACGCAGGACCGCGTGGTATTGTACACTAGAGTCAGAGTTGATGCCATGTTACCTAATAACAACACTTCTATCTCAGAGTCCTCTGAGGGAAGGGAGAGAAAAACCATCGGTTCTTTGGAAGCATGCCTGCCGGCTTGTCAGTAACGTTTGGTGAGTGTATTTCTTTCCAGTCAGATGGTCCACAGGGAGAATCCCTGTTGTCTTTTGAGATAGGTTGTTGTGAAGTGCTGTTGAGTCGATTCCGACCCATAGCGACCCTGTATAGGGTGGGCTTGAACCACTGACTTTGCAGTTCAAATGGCTTTGCAGTCTGACATGCTAGCCCACAGCACCCACACCAGGACTCCTTTTGAGGTAGGTTGTTGTTAAGTGCCGTCGAGTCGGGTCCGATCCATACGGGAGTAGAAAGCCTCATCTTTCTCCCGCGGAGCGGCTGGTAGTTTCGAACCGCTGACCTTAAGGTTCGCAGCCCGATTCGTAACCACTACGCTACCAGAGCTCCTTGTAAAAGCTCTGGTTTTCCCTCCTGTTTCTTTGATAGGAAGACAGGGAACTCTGCCAGAGTGGTTCTGTAACTTGTCCGTTTTTTTGTTTTTTGTTTTTCCCTTCAAGATTGTTTGTGGAGGCTTCAGAAAAACATTTAATGGAAGGTTAGGAAACCACGTCTTTTGGACTCATTCTGTAATCTTCAAAGTTCTTTTCATTCTGTCAGGGAATCCCTACCTGCTCAGCTAGCCCACCCTTCAAACATGGGGTCCCTTTTTTCATCCCTCCTCCTCCGCCCATCCTGGTGACCTCCCTCTACCAGCTTGGGCACTGACTTGTTTTTGGGTGCTGTGAGCTCAGTCCCTCCATATACTAACCCCATGTACGGAGTGGGACTGCCCCATAGGGCTTTCTCGGCTGTAATCTTTACGCAAGTTGATTGCCAGATCTTTTCCCTTGAGGAGCAGATGGAAGGTGGGTTTGAACCTTTGATCTTTTGGTTAGCTGTCAAGTGCTTAACCATTGTGCCACCAGGGCTCTGGGAACTGATTGAATAGCTGTCTACAGCCAATTGTAGTGGCTGGTTGGTAGAACAGTCTCAGTAAGTGCTGGGATAGAAAGAGAGGAGCAGGTTCCTCTTCTGCCTTTTCCTCCTACTTGTCCTTGCATTTTCTCGCCTCACTCTTCACACACTCCTCACACATTATACAATGTGTATCCAGCAGACAGGACCAAACTGTACTTAGCAACACAGTGTCTAATGGTGGTAAATAATATGTAGCAAATGGTTTGCCTTCTCAACATTCGTCATGTGTAAAGCCCATTGACAGGAGTTAGTTTATCATTTTAATCCGCCATTATCATGATGTTTCCAAAGCGCCCATCGCCCAGATCAGAAGCTCAGTGAGTCCCTTCCCCTCCCTGTAACCCACCCTGCCAGCAGTCATGCATGAACTTTGGTGTCTGTACTCTTGCTTGTCTTAGCTGTTTCAGTGGTGCTGTACAACATTTGACTGTGTCTGGCCTCTTTCATTCAGCCTAGTGTTTTCTAGGTGTGGTGACAGGCATCAGAACCCCACTCCTCCGTATGGTGAAGTCATAGTTTTTTGCATGTCTCTGCCCCATTTTGGTATCCATTCAGCTGTTGATGGACATTGAGGCTCTTGTGACTAGTATGACAGCAGGCATTGATGTATAAGTATCTGTTTGGAATTGCATATGTTTAAGCACCAAAAAGTGGCAGCCTGGGACGAGAAGTCCAAAGTTAGGGCGGGCACCATGTCCTTGCAGTTGAGCTGGGGAATGTGAGCGTCTGTCTTTGGAAGCTGCTAAGCAGATGCTCATTCCCCAAGTACCACTGAGTGAGCTGTGGCTAGGATACAGGTGACAGCATGACAATATGACTAGTGTGAGGTCATGATAGTGCGACTAGAATACAGGCGACATCATCCCAGTGATGTCATCCCAGTGTGGCTTGTGTGATGTCATGGAGTGTGGTTAAGACACAAATGATGTCATAGCAGTGTGATCAGAATACAGGTGATGTCATGAAGTTATGAAGTGTGGTTGAGATATAGGTGCTATCAAGACAGTGTGATTAGGATACAGGTGACATGATTAGAGTGTGACTAGGATGCAGGTGGAGTCCTGGTATGGCACTGTGGGATAAAGCTCTGGACCACAGATTGGTCGGCAGTTCAGACTCATCAGCTGCTCATTGGAAACCCTCTACAGGGTCACTATGAGTCACAACTGACCTGACAGCACTTAACAACAACAGGATACAGGTGATCTCGTGACTGTGACTAGAATAATATAGGTGATCTCATCACAGTGTGGCTAGAACACAGGTGACGTCATGACAGTTTGATTAGGATACAGGTGGCATGATTGTAGTGTGACTAGTGTGACTGTGTTTTGGATACAGGTGACGTCATCACAGTGTGGCCAGGGTACAGGACAGTGTGGCTTAAAATGAAGTGTGGTTAAGATGCAGGTGATGTCATCACAGTGTGACTAGGATACATGATGAATGATAGTGTGATTGTGGTACAGGTGATAGCGTGACTGCCTAGGGTCCTGGTGACCTCATGACAGTGTGGCTGGCACGCCCCTCCTTCTGACATGACACTGGTGGCCTGTGATTGATGCACACTTGATACATAGGCATTTGGCAGGAAGAACCGGGGCTGGCCGTTACCCAGGAACTGCTCTGCACACACAGCAGATGAAAGAGTTTTTGTTGAGGTCGAGCAGATGGATAGAGAGGCAGAGTTCAAGCCAACTGATAATAAATCAGGAGTCTGTGTGGAAGGGAAAAACCCAGGCCTGCTCAATTAAAACATTGAGCTAATTTCAATGGACTTAACTTTGTTTCTTTTCTTAGTAGACAAGTATCTTATTATTAAAATAAAATTGATACGAAGTTAGAAAGTATATGTCAGAGAAAGAGACAACCCCCTGACCCCCAGTGAATCAGTGTTGTCCTTTGACTGTTATTCTTCTAACTTGGCCCCCAGTGCCCTCAACATGCACATCGATCCAACTATATTTTATAAAAGTTGAACACAAAGTACACTGTTCTTGGAGTCTGATTTGTAATAGGAAACTTGTAACTAGGTCTTGAAAATCTAAACACAGGCGTGGTACTTGGGTCAGGACATCGGCATAAATTTTAGTAATAAAACCCAAGACAATGTGTAAATTTATGTTTGGGAAAGTTGGGGCCAGGTTCAGGTGAAGGAAAAGTTGATTGGCACGGTTGAATTTACGATCTTCCTCTGAAAAAACAAAATAAAACAAAACTAATGCACCAGAAAGAATTATGTATCAGTGGGGATTTTTACTACTGCCCCCTAGTGGAACAAGAGGAATCACTCAGGCAGTAAAAGGTCTGAACATTCTCCATTGCCGCGGAGTTGGTTTGGATTCATTATAAGACAGAGGATTTCGGAAGCTGTAAATCTGTATAGAAATAGACTGCTTCATCTTTCTCCCACAGAGCAGCTAGTGGGTTTGAACCACTAGGCTTTCAGTTTGCAGTCTACTGCTTAACCCCTGTCTTTACCCATTCATTTCTGGAGACCCTGGGTGGTGCAAATAATGAGAGCTCACATGTTAACTATAAGGTTGGAAGTTCGAGTCCACCCTGGAGCACCTCAGAAGAAAGGCCTTATGAGCGACTTCCAAAAGACCAGCTCTTGAAAACCCACCATTCTGCTCAGATACAATGTGAGGTTGCCTGACTCAGCGTCACCTCCATAGCAGCTGGTTCTAGTATTTTTGAGACTGAATGGAATGTCTGTCCAGCACCATTCAGGTAACCTGTTTGAGGACAAGACATCTGAGTGGCCTGAACTGTTTTGGTGTCTTCCAAGTGGGGATCCCTAATCTAACTTCCTGAGTAGTCTTGCAGCTCCTGTTTCTGAGAGAGGCAGGAGCTAATGGTGTTGTTGAGGCTGTATGGCTATTAAAGATGAGCTGATGTTGCTGAATTCAATGGAATTCAAAGAGTGATGCATCTTGGACCTTTCTTTACAGGTACAGTGAAGGTGAAAAGTTCCAATATCCAAGTTGGAGATCTTATCCTTGTTGAGAAGGTGAGTCAGTCGAGTCTTGAGAATCCTAATGGATTTACCCATTGTACTGTCTTCTGCCCCCTCCAGTGAATCCTAACGCGCATTTTGTGTATCCAGCCAACTAATTGAATGCAAGCTTTTGGGAAATCTATCCACCAGCTTTGCCTGGGGAGAAAAATCTCTTTCCTGTGAGACACACACGCACACACACACAAATTATAAGTTTTATGTGTCTGATGAACCAGAAATCCTGCTTACTAACATAAGTTCAAATTTTGATTTTCTGTTGTATGTGTTTATTACTATTTGGGGTCCGTCTTTGTGTTTGTGTGTATTTAACATAAACCTTCCTAGAAGTCTGCCGGTTATGTGTGCACTCAAGAATATTTATGTAATTTACCTTTTGAGACATTTTAGCTGATATTCATTGACTTAAACATTGTGTGTGGGTTTTTTTTTTTTTATATCATTTTATGGGGAGCAGGGGTTAAGGGTACTATGACAACAGTAAAAAGACCAAAAAAAAAAAAAAAAGCATTTTTTTTTTTCACATAGTAGTGTTAATGGTTTTGTTATTTGGATCCATCCTCATCTCTGTTTATCTGGAAGGTAATGGATTCAGGGGGTTGCCCTAAAGGGTCTTGAAGATAGTATTTGATTAGAAAGGGACTGTGTTTAAACACATTTCTGTAGGAAGTGAACTGTTAAGTTCGTTTAAAAGGATTCATTCCCAGAATTCAATGTTGATTTGAAGTCAAGTAAAACTTTTTAGGTTGGCAGTTCAGAGGAACCACACAAATGCCTTTGTGCTGTATACTTTTCTGTTTGCAATTACACAGGGCTGCCTTTGGCTTCCGGCTTTTTTTGGGGAGGGGTGAATGGCTTTTGTTACTTCTTGCTACTACTTTATTTCCCTGTGAAAATCCCACTTGGAGTTAAGCAGGAAAATGCATAGAGAAAGAAATCATGAGCCTAGAGCTTATGTATGTGTGTTTTTAGTATTTGCACACAACCTAGAAGAAAGCTGATGAGTAGTGAGTGGTAGACCAGGTGTCCTCTGGCTGGATGTTAGGAGGGAATAATCAGATTCATCAGAAAACTTAACAGCTCTTCTTTGGCGACAAGATTTTGATCGGGGATTAGTTAAGTAAAAGCAGCATGCAAGATTTCTCAGATTCAAACCAAAATAAATCCCCAAATCTGTTTTTGACAAAGGCAGACGCTGTGGGATTTAGTAGCTGCTCCCCCTGGCCTCTCGGCAACCCCCTGAGACCCACACATGGGCCTTTGCAGTAACAGTCTTTCTTTTCATAACAGAACCAGCGGGTCCCTGCTGACATGATCTTCCTGAGGACATCAGAAAAGAACGGTAAACATCTGGCATCAATTGGGAGAATACCCATTAACCTTTCAGTGGTAATTTGGCAAAATAATCATTGGAAAATGTAGATAGAATTTTGAAGTAGACAGCGTTTTGGAGCCGTGGAGGGGAGTCAAAGACATTGTTTTAAGCAGCATTGTCGTTTACAAACGCTGCGCTGGTCCTCACAGGTCAGTAGAGTTTGGTCATTAAAAAGGTGCGCTCAGTGGGTGGAGCCACAGTTGGTGCTGTGTGTCCGCTCTCTGGGCACCCTTAGCTCAGCTCTCTGAACTAGCAGCATGGAGAATGTCCAGTCTATATTACACACACAGAAATACTCGCTTTTTTGGGAGCCAGCACCAAGAGATTTTGTGTGGTAGAGGAATGGGGTGGAGATGGGGTCGGGGGGTCCTTTGCTTGTGAATGGTGGGGTCATGCTAACCTGCACCCACCAAGGTATTTGTTGTCAACAAACTTGTGTGCTTGAGCGAACCCCTCAAAATCCCTGTACACCCCTTGCTGACTGGAGTTATTTTCTGGTTTGGCTGCCACCTTGTCCTGCACACCCTACCTAAAACCAAAACCATTTGGCTCCGACACATGGTGGCAACCTCATGTGTGTCAGAGTTCCATGGTTGATTTTCCAGAATGAGATTGCCAGACCTTTCTTTTGAGGTACTTCTATCAGGACTCGAACCTCCAACCGAATACACTGACCTTTTTTTGTGTTTCCACCTGAGGACTTCTCCCACCCTACCAGTTGTCTCAGATTCTCCTTTTGTGTTTGTTTGTGAAGCTGGTGTGAAGAGACAGGATGAGTTTTCTCTTGCCTGTCAGCACAAGCAGAGCTCTTTGAACCTTTGCGGGGGGAAACTCTGCCATTAAATTCCTTTGAGATTATTGTGGTCTGTCTTATTACGAAGTGACTAAAAATGCGAATGACACTTTCAATTAACACATGGTATTAAATAATCAGGAGAAAAGATGAACGGTACGAGGTTAAAACAGACTTAAAACAACAAAACCAAACTGCAGCTTTGTCCTCAAATTGATTACGGTGACCTTTTACAGTGAAAATGAAGCATTTGGTTTTGTGGCCCTCTGAAATGTTCTCTTGATCTTAAAAAAGATACAACAGCAACACTGTGGGATTGTCGTCCCTGGTAGTCTTAACTGGTACTCGGGGGAGTTTAAGGTATGCGCCAGATGACAAACCAGCCTTAAAAAGTTTGTTGGAAAATATTCCATTCTCGTTTAATTCCATCTGTCCATAAACTTTTTGAAGCCCTCTTATATGTGACTGAAAGTCCTTGTCCTTGGGTCACCCTGAAATGTACGTCTGTGAAATATACCAGCTGATCACAGCGTCCTGTTTGTAGATAGTGTCTGGAATCAGCGTTGCTGTTCCTGTCTCTGTTTTTGCTGATGAAGAAACCGAGGCTCACAGAGCTAATTGAGGACAAGGAGCTAGTAAGAAAGAGAGACCAAGAATTTGAACCCATGTGCTCAGAAGCCCTGCCCAGGGACACCTGGCTGGTGGTTACAGTGATGGGCTCTCATCCCTGGTCCCTTTATCCTGTGCCAGCCACCTGTGAGGCTGTGTGAGTAGTAGAGGACAATTTGAACCCAGCTCCTGCTGGCCTCAGAACTTAATGGAGAAAGTAGGGAAAATGGCAATCATTTGTCCTTCTGGCCACTGGGTGTTGATTGGGAATTTTTTAACAGAACAGAAACTGCCAGTGAAGCATGTTGGTGGCTCAGGGGAGCGTTCCTAAATTGCAGCCAACTAGATGGTGTCCTGCTTCCCTCCACAGGCTCTTGCTTCTTGCGGACGGATCAGCTGGATGGGGAGACAGACTGGAAGCTCCGGCTCCCCGTGGCCTGCACACAGAGGCTGCCCACAGCCGCGGTGAGTGGCCAGCCCTTCAGAGGCTCTGGAACTCACAGGCTCTCGGGGGCCAGATGTGAACTTTAGGGTGGGTGAGGAAGGGAGGGGTCCCGGAGAGCTTCCAGTGCTGCTTGTGGCCAGATAACAGCCCTTTGTCCAGCTTTCTTAAGGATGCTGCCAGAGGTACCTGGTGAAACAGGTAAAGGTGTGCCGTTGCTTTGCCCAGAACCTCCACAGGCTTCCCCTTTTTGTTGTTCCTTGGCTTTGGCTCATGGTGAGCAGCTGTGTAGCAGAATGATTATCCGGGACTTTGGAGTCCATTGTTGGAGCCATTTGGATCATGCCTTCGAACATTTATCTTCCAGCACTGTCTCAGACAGCCTCTGTCTTTCCATCTTCTTGTTGTTAGCCATTTTGAGTAGTGTCTTACTTCTCGAGTGTTTCTGTAAGGAAAACACCACAAGTGGGTTGCTTTGACAAACAGAAATTTATTTTCTCACAGTTTGAGAGGCTTGAAGTAAGCGCATCGGCTCTGGGGAAAGAATGGCTTTGTCTCTGTCGGCTCTGGAGGAAGGGCTTTGTCTCTGGGTGATCTTCATGGGACTTGACATCTGTCTTTCTCCATCTTGACCTGCTTATTGTTGTTGTTAAATGCCGTTGAGTTGGTTCCAATTCATAAAGACCCTGTCTGGGATTTCCAAGGAGTGGCTGGTAAGTTTGAACTTCCGACCTTGCGGCTCAAACTGACCTTGCAGTCCAGTGCTGACCCTACAGCGCCACACCAGGACTAGCATGCATTTCATCTGTTTTGTTGTGGTTGTTATGTGCAGTGGAGTCGGTTCCAACTCATAGTGAACCTGTACAGGGTTTCCAAGGCTGTAAATCTGTATGGGAGCAGAAAGTCTCATCTTTCTCCCATGGAACTGCTGGTAGTTTTGAACTGCTGACCCTGAGGTTAGCAGCCCAATTCATAACTACTGTGCTACCAGAGCTCCTTTCATCTATTTTAGTTTTCCAAAAAATGGATGAAACAGCCTACACTAGCCTTGCCTCATTAGCATAACAAAGACAGCCCCTTCCCAAATGGGATCAGAACCACAGGCAATGAGGTGAGGATTTATACTTTTAAGGGACCCAGTTTAGTCCATGGAATCCTAGTGTGGCGCTGTGGGTTAAGGCACCAGACTGCAAAGCTGTTTGAACTGCAAGGCGGAGGTTCAAGCTCACCAGCTGCTCCTTGAAAACCCTATACAGGGTCGCTGTGGGTCAGGATCGACTCGACAGCACTTAACAACAAGTTCAGCCCATAACAAATTGTTCTGACGCCACCTGTGCCCCACGGGGATTCTAATGGCTGTAATCTTTCAGAAGTAGATTACCAGGTCTTTCTACCAAGGTACATCTGGCTGGGTTCAAACTACCAACCTTTAGTTTAGTAGAACTTCACCCATTTGTGCCTGCCCTGTACCTTTTGCTCACCAGCTCTGGCCACACTGGCCTTCCAGTTAAGCACCCCCCCCCCCCCACCCCACACACATGCTGGGTGTATCTAGTAGTTATTTCAGTGCTCAAGTCAGCTTCTCAGAGGGGCTTCTTCCGACCACCGCTTACGACATCTGCACTCTGTTGCTTCCAGAGCAGGTTATGCCTGTTAGAGTCACTACAAGGTGCTCAGTATGAGACCCAGCCACAGAGCCTAAGGGGTGGTCCCACTAGACGGAGCCAGCAAGTGCCCAGAACGCCCCAGGACTCCTCACTTTCTCAAAACCGGCTCTGGTGGCCCTGTAGGATAAGCACTGGACTGCTCACCACAAGGTCTGCTGTTTAAACCCCTTCCCAGCTGCTCCGCAGGAGGAAGATGAGGTGTCTGCTCCTGTAAGGATGTACAACCCAGAACACCCTGTACAACGTCGCTCTGAGTGAAATAATTGACTCAGTGGCCTTGGGTGGTTTTAGGTTTGTTATTTTATAGAATGAGTGAGTGAGGGGAAGCCTGAGTTTAAACGAAAGCTGTGTGGGTTGTGTGTGAGTGATGGACAGTTCTTTTGTACCATCTGTGTGAAACAAGAACAAAACACTGTAATTTATGCCAGAGACCGACATGCCCCGTGGTGGTCAGGAAAGATGAACTGGAACACATAAGGGTGTTCACCCTATGTAATGGAGTCCCTGTATGGCACCGCAGGTTAATGCGCTGCACTGTAAAGTTGGTTTGAACCTCAAGGTCAGCGGTTCAAGCTCACCAGCCGCTCTTCAGAAACCCTACACAGGGTCACTATGAGTTGGAACCAACTTGACAGCACTCAACAATAACAACCACCCTTTGTAATAGTCACCCTTACTGTGTTCTGTGGAGAAGGACTGGTCAGGTGAAATCCTAGTAAACGTGATCACCATGCTAGTTAGTTTTCATGGTCAATAAAAAGTAACATAGCAGCCTGATTCCTGTTAATTTTTCAATGAGGAATTCTAAACCTGTGAGGCTCTAATTGTGGTCCCAGAGTCCCTGGGAATTCTTAGAAGGCCTCGCTGTGCTAATGACATGCCATTACTCTGATGAGGAACTTCTGATTCTGTGTCGGAGAGGGACTTTACTTCCAGGTAAGACTTGATGCCTCTGAACTTTGGTGTTGATGAAGAACATTGAACTGCCAAAGAAAGAGCAAATCTGCCTTGGAAGACGTACAGCCAGAGTGCTTCTTGGTTGTGAGGATGGACATGTGATCAGATTGGACCAGTCCCTGAAGAAGGACATCATACTTGGTAAAGTCGAGGGTCAGTGCAAAAGAGGCAGACCCTCAGTGATGGACTGACACAGTGGCGGCAGCAGTGGGCTCAAGCTTAACAGCCGCAGGAGTGGGCAGTGTTTTGTTTTGTTGTGTGTGGGGTCGCTTTGAGTCGGAAACAACTCAGTGGCACCTAACAACTATAATGCCACCAATACTCTCTTCTTCACAGAAACGGCATAGAAAGTTCTGGTCTTTCCAGGCCTTTGATGGTGCCCTTGCTTGGTAACAACGGTGGTGGTTATGTGCTGTGGAGTTGGTTCCAATCCATAGCGACCCTGTACAGGGTTTCCGAGGCTATAAATCTTTACAGGAGCAGAAAGCCTCATCTTTCTCCCACGGAACAGCTGGTAGTTTTGAACTGCTGACCTTACAGTTTGCAGCCCAATTCGTAACCACTTTGCTACCAGAGCTCCTTGGTGCCCTTTCTGACAACTCTTCAAATATAAGTACGTTGTGAGTTGTGGTTTTACACAGATAGATCATACTGTACTTCGTATTCATAACTTTCTTCCTTCACTGAACATGCCTCTGGGCTGTTTTCTTATTAGCACTAGGAGGCCACAGTGTAATTATGTGGGCACACAGGGCTGGGTGAGATCATCATGGAAAACCTGGGCCCTTCCTGGGGCCGGGGGCAGGGGGCGGGTGACCAAGTGCATCAACTTGGCTCTAGTGTACCTCATGTGCCACTGACCATTTGATTGTTTAAAAAAAAAGAACCAGAAATTGAGATTTTCATGGAAAATCTGATTCATACCAATCCTGCAGGACCCTCCACTTTACCAAACGCGATGCCCTTCGCCAGGGACTGGTCCCTCTTGATAACATGTCTGAAATATGGGAAACGAAGTTCCGGCATACTGCCTTCTAAGAAGCATTTCTCCCATCACAGATGTGTTTGTTTTTCTGGCCGTCCATGGCACTTTAGTATTCTCCTCCAACACCGTAACTCAGATGCATCAATTCTTCTATGATCTTCCTTATTCACTGTCCAGCTTTCACATGCGTATGAGGTTATTGAAAATACCATAGCTTGCTTGAGTGAGGCACACCTTAGTCCTCAAACTGATATTTTTGTTTTTGAACACTTTAAAGAGGTCTTGTGCAGCAGATTTGCCTAATGCATTACGTCATTTGATTTCTTGACTGCTGCTTCCATGAGTGTTGATGGTTGATACGAGAAGAATGAAGTCCTTGACAACTTCAATCTTTTCTCTGTTGATAAGAATGTTGTTTATTGGTCCCATGGTGAGGCTTTTTATTTTCTTTACATTGAGATGCAGTCCACACCGAAGGCTGTGCTCTTTGATCATTATCAGTAAATATTTTTAAGTCCTTGTCTGTATACTGAGATGCAGTTCATATTGAAGGCTGTAGTCTTTGATCTTCATCATTAAGTATTTTAGGCCCTCTCTGCTTTCAGAAAGCAAGGCTATATCATCTACATATCACAGGTTGTTAATGAGTCTTCCTCCAGTCCTGATGTCAGGTTTTTCTTCGTATAATCCAACTTCTTGGATTACTTGGTCAGCACACAGATTGAGTAAGTATAATGTAGGATACAAACCCTGGTGTACCCTTTCCCTGAGTTTAAACCATTCAGTGTCCTCATGTTCTCGTCTAACAACTTCTTCTTGGTCTATGTACAGGTTCCTCATGAGCACAATTCAGCATTCTGGAATACCCATTCTTTACAATGTTGTCCATAGTTTGTCATGACCTACACAATCGAAAGCCTTTGCATAGTCAATAAAATGCAAGTAGACATCTTTCTGGTGATCTCTACTTTGAGCCAAGATCTATTTGATGTCAGCAATGATATCGCTCATTCTACAGCTTCTTCTGAATCTGACTTGAGTTTCTGGTGGTTCTCTGTCGATAGACTCCTGCAACCATTTAAAAATGATCTTTAGCCAAATTTTAATTGCCTGTGATATTAATGATATTATTTGATTCTCTTGGGCCACTCAATTCTCTTTGGAATGGGCACAAATATGGATGTCTTCTAATTGGTTGGCCAGGTAGCTAGCTGTCTTCCACATTTCTTGGCATAGATGATTGATCTGCGTCTGTTTGTTGAAAGGTTTCAGCTTGTATTCCATCAATTCCTGGAGCTTTGTTTTTCATCAGTACCTCAGTGAACCAGGGACTTCCTCCTTCAGTACCATTGATTCTTGCTCACATGCCACCTCTTGAAGTGGTTGAACATCAACCATTAGTTTTTGGTACAGTGACTCTGTGTGTATTGGTTTGAACTGTTTTTGATGCATTCTGCATCGTTCACTATTTTGCTCATAGAAGCCTTCAATGATTCCACCCCCTCCCCAGTTCTTTCACCTTGAGACATGTTGAGCGTGTTCTTCGCTTTTGGTTTTCTGACTCCAGGTCTTTGCACATTACAGTACTTTACTTTGTCTCCTTGAGCTGCCCTTTGAAATTTTCTGTTCAGCTATTTTACCTTCAAATTTCTTCCATTTGCTTTAGCTTCTCTACAGTTAAGAGCAAGCCTCAGAGTCTCTTCTGATATCCATTTTGATTTGCTTTTTTTTCCTTTTTAATGACCTTCTGCTTTTTTCCCCCGTATGATGTTCTTGGTGCCATCCCACAACTCTTTTGGTCTTCACTCATAAATGTCTAATGTGTGAAATCTGTTTTTGAGATAGTTTCTATATTTAGGTAGTATATATTCAAGGCCATATTTTGTCTCTCGTGGACTTGTTTTAATTTTCTTCAGCTTCAGCCTGAACTTGCATATGAACAATTGATGGTCTGTTTCACAGTCTGCCCCTGGCTTTGTGTTGTTTGATGATTCTACATTCCTGTGTGTTTTGGTGTACAAAAAACCCCACAAACAACCAGAGGGCATATTCTGCAAGCCTGGCTCCTGGCCACCAGCACACAGCCTTTCTCTTTCCGTGAGTCTAGAGTCCTCAGTTGCTCCCTCTCTCCATGTCATCATCTCTGCCTCCATCTCTGATGTCACTGCTTCTCTGGATAGTATCCCACATTCTGCTCATGCTCTGCTCCCTTGATGGTCCTAGGGTCCTCTGTTCCTGGAATGTAAGATTGACTACTCCCCCCTTTTAATCAATGAATCCTTTTTTTTTTCTTAAAGTTTTTATTGTGAATTGAGTGATAGTTTACTTGAGAGAACATCACTTTTACATTCATCCTATCGTGTTTTGTTTCATTGCAATGATTACCATCTCCTCCATGCATCATCATTTAACATTATTTGCTTCTATTTCCTCTGTTTTTTTTTTTGGATGTACACTGAAGCACTCAGGAATATGCAATCATTCAGACACCCAGAGGGTACACCCTGCAAGCCTGCCACCTGGCCATCAGCACACAGACCTTCTCCCTCCCTGAGTCCAGAGTCCCCAGCTGTTCCATCTCTTCACATCATCATCTCTGCCTCCATCTCTGGCGTCGCTGCTTCTCTGGATAGATTCCCGTACTCCGCTCTTCTCCCTTGATGGTCCCAGGGACCTCCGTTCCTGGGCTGCAAGGTCAACCACTCCCCTCCTTTTGTACAAAACGTCTACCTTTACATTTGCAACAATCGCAATCAGCCATGGTTTATCAGTGAATCTCGATTGTATGTTTGATCAGTTTCAAATAGAAGAAATTGGTAGAATTCTTCAATTTCATCATCACTGGCTTAGTGGTTGGTACATAAATTTGAATAGCAGTGATATTAACTGGTCTTCATTATGCCCACATGGATATTATTGATCACAGGTAGCATTGTACTTTAAGACAGATCTTAATGTTCTCTTTGATGATGAATGCAACACCATTCCTCTTCAATTTGTTGTTCCCAGCATATATACCATTCGATTATTGATTTAAAATTGCTAATACCAGTACATTTTAGCTCACAAATCCTTAGGATATCGATCTTTATGAGTTCCATTTCATTTTGACAACTCCCAATTTTCCTAGATTCATACTTCCTGTATTCAGCATTCTGATTATTAGTGGGTGTTTGTAGCTGTTTCTCCTCATTTTGAATTGTGTCCCATCAGCACACGAAGGCCCTGAAAGCTTTACTGCATTATCACCATGGTCAGCTTGACTTTGAGGAGGCAGCTGGCTTCCCCAGTTACACTTTGAGTGCCTTCCAACCTGAGGGGCTCAATTTCCAGCACTGTTTGTTGTTACGTGCCATGCAGTTGGTTCCGACTCATAGTGACCCTGTACAGGGTTTCCGAGGCTGTAAATCTTTACGGGAGCAGAAAGCCTCATCTTTCTCCCACGGAACAGCTGGTAGTTTTGAACTGCCGACCTTGCGGTTCGCAGCCTGATTTGTAACCACTACGCTACCAAAGCTCCTTGTATCTGACAGTACTCTCCTGCTATTCATAAGGTTTTCATCTCCTGGTACTATATCTGATGATGTTCTCCTGATTCTCATAAGGCTTTCAATGGCTAACCCTTCAAAAGTGAGCTGTCTCTCTGTTATCCTAGTCTGTCTTAGTCTAGAAGTTCTACTGAAACTTGTCCACCATAGGTGACCCTGCTGGTGTTTAAAATACCCGTGGCATACCTTCCAGCATCACAGCATCACTCAAAGCCACTGCAGTAGGACAAACTGACAGATGAGTTGTAGTCAGACATATGAGGGGGCTTCAAAAAGTTCATGGAAATCTGTCATTCTTTTTCAATTCCATTCTTTCCTGAATTTTTTGTTGTTGAAGTCTTTAATTTTTTTTAAAGGTTTTATTGTGAATTGAGTGATAGTTTACATGGGAGAACATCAGCTTGACATTCAGACTTATTGCCTATTGTATTTCGTTTCATTGCAATGATTACAATCCCCTCTATGCATCATCGCTCAACAGTATTTGCTTCCATTTCCTCTGGTGGTTTTTTATTTTGGATATACACCGAAGAAGCATACAGGAATATATAACCATTTAAACAACCAAAGGGTATGCCCCAGAAGCCTGCCCTTCTGGCTGTCAGCACACAGCCCCTCTCCCTCCCTGAGTCTAGAGTCCTCAGCTGCTCCCTCTCTCCATGTCATCATCTCTGCCTCCATCTCTGGTGTCGCTGCTTCTCTGGATACGGTCCCACATTCTGTTCTTCTCCCTTGATCGTTGCAAGATCTTCTTCTTGGGCTGCAAGATCAACCCCTCACCTCCTTTTGTTACAAACATCAACCTTTACATTTGCAACAATCGCAGTCAGTCCTGATAGCAATTATTCACTATTGAACCACAAGAGTCTTATCCCCATTTCCTACCTTGAACGTTTTGAAGCCCCTTTGTATCGGTGATTATGATGATGTGCAGGATCCAACGACATTTTGTTCAGTTGTACATTGAGTCACCATGAGTTGGAGCCAAGCTTGATGGCAGCTAAGAAAAACGAGGTGCAGTGGGTCCCCTCAGAAGCATGTGTCCTGCTCTAGCTTTTGATGTTGACTTGGCAGCCTCCCTGTCCCATAGGAGCCTGGAGCCTGGGCCTCCTCATCCCCTACAGTGCTGTTACCATTTCACATGTCAGGAGACAGAGGTGAGAGGGGTTAGTCATCTCTCCAAACTCACACAGCTGCTGAGTGGAGGAACTGGGCTTGCTTTTGGGTCTTTTTGCCAGAGCTTCGTCCTTGACAAACAGGTATCAAAGCTCCAAGCATCTGTACTCAGACAGGAAGACAGCAGGACCTTTCTGTTAGGTGGCAGCAGAGCCACAAAGAAATGTTGTTGTTGTTGTTAAGTGCCGTCGAGTCGGTTCCGACCCATAGCGACCCTGTACAGGGTTTCCGAGGGTGTAAATCTTTACGGGAGTAGAAAGCCTGATCTTTCTCCCGTGGAGCAGCTGGTAGTTTCGAACCGCTGACCTTAAGGTTCGCAGCCCGATTTGTAACCACTACGCTACCAGAGCTCCTTCTAGCTTAAAATAAATTCTGTATCATTGTGGAGGTGAGGTGTGTGTGTGTATGTGTGTGTGCTGCATCAGTAAGATCTGGCCACACCCTGCTGTCTCCCCTCAGGAGCCCTCTGTGCATCCCTGTTCCTGGACCTTGCTTTTCCGAATCTGGATGCATGCCCATGCTACCATTTGGCCTGGAGCTGATTTCTCTCCCACTTCCGTCCCTCAGCTCCCTGCTCTTTTTTCTTTGCTGGAAGGAAACCACGTCTTCCTCCCACTGTACTTGTCTTAGGCCATGGACATAGTCTTTTATTTTTTTATTCTACAGTTTGTTCTACAGCACTGCTTTTTTTAAAAAAAATTAATTTTGTTATGGTAAATACAGAACAAAATGTTGGCTGTTTCAGCTTCCTTCACACGAACCATTTAGCGACATTAATTGTGCGGCGGCACCTTTATCTGTGTCTAGCTCTTTCCATAACACTTAACAGAAGTTCAGTGTTTCCTAAGCAGGGAGCCTTTGTCCTCTGACCCCTAGCCCCAAACTCAGCTTTTTGCCAAGCCGTGTCTTCATAGTCTTACAACCGTCATGGGGTTTCTTGCTTGTTTTTTTGTCTCCCTGCCCTTCCCAGGGCTTGTCACAGAGCAGCTACCCCATAACCAGCATTCGGGAGAGTTTTTCCATTTGGCACACATGAGTCCTGTAATCTAGAACTGAGCAGCGGGGGTCTGCTCATTCCTATCTAAACCCACTGTCATTGAGTTGACTTTGAACTTATCAGGACCCTAGATAGGGTTTCCAAGGCTGTAAATCTTAACAGCTTCATCTTCCTCCCATGGACCAACTGGAGGGTATGCACTGCCGATCTTGCAGTTAGCAGTCCAGTGCTTATCCTACAGCAGCATGGCAGGGCTCCTTGTGCTCATTGCAGGGACAGTGTCCCCTGTTCCCTCCACAAGTTGAGGAGACGCTCGTGCAGATGGTTCCATGGCCTCCTTCAGCAGAGCCTTTTCTCATTGTGTCTGGATACATCCGGGCTGCAGGTCCGTACTTGATCGAGGACTTTCTTCCTCTTTGCCCCATACTTTTGAGTACCTGTTTGTTCTGTTTGGACGGTCCAGTTGCTGTTGAAAAATGAATGAGTCTTCTGACATGTTTGTTCATCATCTACCTGTGTTTAACTCCAGGACCTGCTTCAGATACGGTCGTTCGTGTATGCAGAGGAGCCAAATATCGACATTCACAACTTTGTGGGAACTTTCACCAGAGTGAGTATGCTTATCTGGACCGTGGAGCCCTACCTCAGAGCGCATGTCCACGGGGATGGCTTGTAAAGGTGTGCAGACAATTCTTTGTCAGGAAGTGACTTAATACCAGGTATCGGGGGTGGTCATATTTATTACCTCCCAGAGTCCCCACCTGAAGGCTGCTGTATTGTCTCTCAGGGAAGGTGATGCACTGGTGTTTTTCCCCAGCTTCAGAGCAGCTGTAGCACCCACCAGATCAGAGCTAAGTGTGGCTATGATCAGCCAGTATAGTGCCTGGTGTCTGTAAGTAGTCACTCTCTGGCTCTCGTTCAGGCAGCGATTTGGCCTCTTTTCTCCATGTTCTATTCTTACGATTTTTATTTACTTATTTTTGGTGTGTGTGTGATAAACACATATACGTATATACCTATAAAATAAAAAGGTGCCCCTTCAACAGTTTTCACATGCAGAATCCTGTGAGGTTGATGACGTCCAACATATTATATAAATATCACCACTGTCCCTTTACAAAAGGTTCCACACATTTACAGGCACTCCATACTCCCCAAACGACGACTCTCTTTTCTTTCCCTGCCACCCTGATAACCACTGATGGACTTTGGTCTCTTTCTGCTTGCCTGTCTTAAATGAGTGAGGTCATAACAATATTTGCCCTTTAGTGATAGAATGATGTCACTCAATGTAATGTTCTCCAGGTTCATCCATGTGGTAGCGTTGTATCAGCATTGTCAGAATTGTTAAGTTCCCTTCTGGACTTCAGAATGGCAATTAAAGTTAGATTCAGATCATGTTAGAAACGTGGGGACAATTCATTTATAAAGCCCAATTGAAATGGTTAGTAGTTCTTTTTTTGTTTTTAAAAATACTTTATTGTTTTCTCAGTGAAGTTTGTATAGCAGATTTGGTTCCATGAAACCATTAGTATACAAATCGTTAGGGAAAGCTGTGGCTCTGCAGGATAGCACTGGACTACAAGCCACAAGGTTGGCAGTTCAAGTCCAGCAGCTGCTGTGTAGGAAGCTATCTGCTCCCAGAAGATTTTAAAAAGCCACAGAAACTGTACACAGGATCTCTGTGAGTCAGAATAGCACTTAACAACAACAACTCACACTGTCAGAGGCATGGGTTATATTTTTCACAAAGATTCTCATTAATTTCCTTCTGGATGTTTCGCTTTCCATCATCTGGTCTCCTTGTCACCTTACCCTTTTGTCTTTGCATTAGAGTCATTATTAGCCACCTGTGTGGTGGTTTCTTTATAAGCCATTAAGTGGTGGTTGGTGGTTATGTGCTGTGGAGTTGGTTCTGTCTCAGAGTGACCCTGCATAGGGTTTCCGAGGCTATAAATCTTTATGGGAGCAAAAAGCCTCATCTTTCTCCCACGGAATAGCTGGTAGTTTCGAACTGCTGACTGTGAGGTTAGCAGCCTGATTTGTAACCACTACGCTACCAGAGCTCCTTATAGCGTGATCAGCAAAGGGCCGTGCACGATTGTTTTGTGTCTGCACTTTAATTCATACCTTGTTAAACATTTCTTCCCTGTCAGAAAACCTGTACTCTCTAAGTCATGTACCATGTACATTAATATTTCCATGGCAGAGGAAAAGTTCAAGAACATGACTTATGAGTCCCATTCTTGTCACAGCAGAGCTGTGGATTTCCAAACCAACTCCTCAGGTTTCATCAGGGAAAAAAAACAGCCAAAAACCCAACCAGCTGCCATCAAGCCGGTTCTGATTCATGACGACCCCATTTGTTTACGAGTAGAATTGTGCTCCAAAGAGTTTTCATGGCTTTTGGAAGCCAGTTGCGAGGCCCTTCTTCCAGGACATCTCTGGGTGGTTTCGAACCGTCAACTCTCTGGTTAAGTAGCCCAGTGCATAACTGTTCTTGCCACTCAGGGACAAGAGCATGCTGGAAACAGCCTGTGGGCTGTGTCACAACCGTGGCTGGTAAACTCATGTCTGTTTGGTCTCTTTAGGAAGACAGCGACCCTTCGATCAGCGAGAGTTTGAGTATTGAGAACACGCTGTGGGCGGGTACTGTCATCGCATCAGGTAAGGCGCTGCTACTCTTGAGGAATGTGTTAGCAATTTGAAAAGGAAAACAAGTCCTTTTGTAATTACAAGAATCACCTGTCTGCTGGGAAAATGAGTCGTCAAAGGGTGTTCTCCATCAGTCCGGGCACCTCCCGGGGAATCCAACTGACACCTAATTACCCCTCAGACACACGGAGACATCTGGGAGAGCAGCGGCTGCTCTGGCCTTTGGACTTAGCTGCAGCATCCATTCTGCGAATGGCCCTTAATTGCCACTCCAGATGGTCGTTCTAATCTGTACCAGGAAGAGGGTCAGGCTGGAACTTGAGACCCTTGAGCAGGTACTGCCAGAACGGGGGTACTACACATAGGAAAGGGACGTGGCCTGAGTTGGAGCCTCGGTGTTTATAACTTCTAGATGAACTGGAAATGGATGATTTGTGATTTTGGTTTTTAAGAAAAATGATAGTGGTAAAAATACGCCTAACACAGATCATCTGGGCAGTTTCCCCACGTGCAGTTTAGAAACACTGATTACCGTCTTTCTCTTCTGCAGCCGTTCTCAGTCTCCTTGCAAATCATCCCAGTCCTTTAAGATAACCTCAGTGCTCCTCTCAGCAACAACGCCCCCGGCCCTTCTCCCAGCCACCCCCTCATAACCTTTGGTTTCCATATATTTGCTGATTTTATGTATGTAAGATCATGCTGTGTTTGTCCGTACGCAATGAACGCATTCTGTGCCGCACAACACATTCACGATGCATCCATGTCGAGGCATGCGCAAGGACCTCGTTTCTCTACATGGCTGAGTTGTAGTCTACTGTGTGTTTCGGCCACGTGTTGTTTCTTTGTGTTCACCTGTTGATGGATGTGGTGCTGCTCCCACCTTTTGACAGGTGTGAAAAGTGCCGCCGTGACCACTGACATAGTGCTTTTAGATTGTGAAAGCTGGTGTGAGGCGGAGCACGTGGCCCCTAAGTAGACGGAATTCCAGCCTTCAGTGTTGCAACATAGTCCCGCATTGAGCCCTGCATGTGTGCAGTGCACTCCTCTTAACTTTCCTGATGGTCCAACCATGAGGGTCGTTTCTCCTATTATCCCCATTCTGCCTATGAGGAAACCAAAGCTCAGAGAGGTTAAGTAACTTGTCCAAAGTCAGACAGCGGGTAGAAGGCAGATCTGGAACTTGAATCGAGGTGCTCTGTGCTACAGGCACAATGCATCATTGTGCAGCCTGTTATAGGGTGTTATAAATACACTGAAGGAAGAAGTCCAAGGTGCGTTGAAGGCATTGGGAAAGAACAAGGGACCAGGAATTGATGGAATACAAATTGAAATCTTCCAACAAAGTGAGGTGGCACTGGAGGCACTCACTCATCTAAGCCAAGAAATTTGAAAGACAGCTACCTGGCCAACTCATTGGAAGAGATCCGAACTGAACCCATCCCCAAGAGAGGTGACCCAGTGGAATGCGGAAATCATCGGACAATATCTTTGATATCCCATGCAAGTAATACAGAAATGGCTGCAACCATACAATGACAGAGAACTTCCAGAGGTTCAAGCTGGATTCAGAAGAGGACGTGGAATGAGGGATAATCATTGCTGATGTCCGATAGATCTTGGCTAAAAGCAGAGAATATCAGAAAGATGTTTACCTGTGTTTTATTGACTACGCGAAGGCTTTCGATTGTGTGGATCATGACAAGCTATGGATAACATTGTGAAGTATGAGTATTCTAGAACACTTAATTGTGCTCATGAGGAATCTGTACATGGACCAGCAGTTGTTCGAACAGAACATGGGAACACTGAATGGTTTAAAGTTAAGAGAGATGTGTGACAGGGTTGTATTCTTTCACCATACTTATTCAGTCTGTATGCTGAGCAAATAATCCAATAAGCTGGGTTCTATGAAGAAAAACGTGGCATCAGGATTGGAGGAAGACTCATTAACAACCTGCGATATGCAGATGATACAAACTTGCTTACTGAAAATGAAGAGGACTTAAAATATTTACTGATAAAGATCAAAGACCACAGCCTTTGGTGTGGATTGCATCTCAATGTAAAGAAAATAAAAATCCTCACTACTGGACCAATAAACAACATTCTTATCAATGGAGAAAAGATTGAAATTGTCAAGGACTTCATTCTTCTTGGATTGACTTATCAACACTCATGGAAGCAGCACTCAAGAGATCAGACGACGTATTGCATTAGGCAAATCTGCACAAGACCTTTTTAAAGTGTTAAAGAGCAAAGATGTCAGCTTGAGGACTAAGGTACGCCTGACCCAAGCCATGGTATTTTCAATAACCTCATATGCATGCGAAAGCTGGACAGTGAATAAGGAAGACCATAGAAGAATTGATGCATTTGAGTTATGGTGTTGGAGGAGAATACTGAAAGTGCCATGGGCTGCCAAAAGAACCAACAGATGTTTATTAGAAGAAGTGCAGTCAGAGTGCTCCCTGAAGGCCAGGATAGGCAAACTTTGTCTCTCATACTTTGGACATACTGTCAGGAGGGACAAGTCGCTGGAGAAGGATATCATGTTTGGTAAGGTGGAGGGTCAGAGAAAAAGAGGAAGACCCCCAATAAGATGGATTGGCCAAATGGCAGCATCAGTGGGCTCAAGTGTGGCAACAATTGTGAGGTTGGCCCAGGACTGGGCAGTGTTTCCTTCTGTTGTGCATAGGGTTGCTAGGACTCTGTACTGACTCGATGGCCCCTAACAACAACAACAGTAACAACTAGTGTATTATATAGTACTGTTGTTTGTTGTTGTTAAGTGCTGTCAAGTCAGTTCTGACCTATAGCGACCCTGTATAGGGTTTCTAAGGAGCGGCTGGTGAGCTTGAACCACCGACCTTGTGGTTCAAACGACTTTGCAGTCTAGCGCATTAACCCACACCGCCACCCCAGGATTCCAGTGTATCATATAATATTGTTATTATAAATCTACCATGTCTGCCTTTCTTCTTGGAACAGTCAGTTTTTGCTTGTTTGTCATCAAACATGGTATCTTCTTCTCCTCTCTCTTTCCTTTGCTCAAAGCTTCTTTATGACTCTTTAGTGCACCAGGATTCAGAAGAGGGAGGGAACGAACCAGAACATTGGACCTCTGTTCATCACATCTCATGCTTCATAGACCATGCAGTTAGCAGTCCAGTGCCTATCCTATACCAGGATGCCAATTGTTCTTTTGAGCATTTTATTGTGATTTGGACAAAGGTTTATGGAGCAAATCCGTTTCCTACTCTACAGTTTATACACGTTTTGTTTTGTGATATTGATTGCACTTTTCTTGTTTCCTTCCTGGGTTCTTCATTTTCCATCGTCCATCTGTGTTGCCCCTTCCTGCCCTTCTGAACTTTGCTTTTGGGTAAATGCTGCCTTTTGGTCTTGTTCTTCAGAGAACAGGCCTCATGGGTGTTACTGGTCACTTCATTGAACTGCCCGTTGTTTGGCCAGAGGGTGATCGTAGGCATGAGTTCCGTTTCTGGCTTGAAGCGTTTCTAAAATCTGTAGTTTGGGGAGTTCCACCGGGCTCTAACAGACTAGTTAATATGGTGGGGTTTTTTGGTTGTTGTTTTTTTTTAAAAATGTACAGGGTTTTCTTCCTTACGGGAGTAGAAAGCCTCATCTTTCTCCCGCGGAGCGGCTGGTAGTTTCGAACCGCTGACCTTTAGGTTCGCAGCCCGATTCGTAACCACTACGCTACCAGAGCTCCTTTTGGTAGTGGTAACCAGGCAGTATCTAGTTCCTCTGGCACACTCACCTCTTGGTTCACATAGACAGGGATTGGGTTTGTGCCACATTTCTTGCCCACTGCTGTCCTGTCTCTGCGCCCCGTCTGGGATGTTTTCTCACTGCTCTCTATGGCTAAGCAGGTGAGACACGGGTCCCCTGATAGCCTTCCGCAGCTCCAGCCATGCTCAGCCCATAGCAGCCCCTTCCCTCCTTTGTCTCCTGCTCTTGTCACCCATGTCTCTGAGCCAGTCACTTCCTCAGCAGCTGTTCCACTTGTGACTATTCTGTTAACAAATACTGAATTCAAAAAACAGTTTTTTTTAATAAACCAGTTGCCCTCAAGTCAGTTCTTACAGAGGTTCCTTGTGTTATCAGAGTGGAACAGTGGTCCACAGGTCTTCTTTGAACATTTTAACTTATTTTTATGTTGTTGTTGAGAGTAAACACATGAGATTCATCTCTTTGCTGTGCTTGGTGACATGGGAGGGGAGAGAACAGTGATTCCAGGATCCAAAGACACTGCTGGTCTCGCCCTCCAGCTGGTTTATGTTTCGGAATGAGGATGAGGGAGTGTATTAACCACGTCTTTGTTGTGGTTGTTGAGTGCCGTTCAGTCGATTCTGACCCATAGCGACCCTGTACAGGGTTTCTGAGGAACAGCTGGTGTGTTTGGACCAGCTGTTCAAACCTTGTGGTTCGCAGTCCAGTGCTGATCCGACAGCACCATACCAGAAGTCACATCCTTAGTTGATCTCAACTCCCCCTGCTGCTTACTGAGTGGATCTTTCAACATAGAATGCTGAAATGTCAGCCACTGTCTTCTGACACCCACTGGAAGAGACATCCATCACGAGTTATCTTCATTACAAGAAGTTTCTCGTCTGTGTTTCCTTCAGTGTCTCACTTCTGCCACATGGTCGCTCCATTGTTCTAAGAACTCAGTTGGAAGTCCAGAAAATAACAAAAAAGCTTTCCAAGCAGCACTCAGGGGCCAGCTGAGTTCGCTGCCATCAATTTGTCGAGGATGCAGTTGCCATGGTAACACATGCTCTGCAAGGCGGAGGAATCGCTGGAGTGATAAATGGACTATGGGAAGGGATGAGGGAGGGCCCTGAGGCTTTGGCATAGCTGGTGGCTTGGATGCTACAGAGCTCAGGTGTTCTAACCCCCAGCTCTCAGGGGTACAGGCTCCATTGTTAACCCCCCCAGTCTGTAGCAGATTGCTGTATGCTCCGACACAGGCTGCCACACGACGTGTAGCT